AGACCTCTCCTGACCCGCCCGCTGCTCCCCTCAGCAGTGTACTTCGTAGATCTGCCTGTTCTTCTCCCCACTCTCTCTGGTGAAGCCTCTCGCTGCCCCTGAGCCTCTGGCCTGTACCTCAGTTCTGTATGCACAAATAAATAAATCTTTAAAAAAAAACTTATAAACTGTTCTACATTTTTTTCACAAATTATATAAATGAATGGGATACAAAGGAAGGCATCTATGCTTTATCAGAATAAGATAGACTTCAGTTGAAAAACTTAAGGCATAGGGAGGAACACTATATTATGATTAAGAGAATAATATGCCAGGAAGACATAACACTCTTTAATACCCTCCAAATAAAGGAACACAAAAATAAATTAGGCAATTAATATCAACTCTTTAAAAACACATATAGAAAACGTATATGTGGTTGGAGGATTAAACACCCCACCCTCAACGATGGATACATCAACAATATCTGAAAGTAAATAGGGACACAATCACTTTAAACAAATAATTAGACCATGGGGACCTAAAAGACTTTTACAGGGTACTACCCTGCCCCCAAAAGCAAAATGCACATTTCTTTTTTTTTTTAAAGATTTATTTATTCATATAGAACTGGGGTACAGGCCAGAGATGCGGAGGGTGAGATGATTCACCAGAGGCAGAGTGGGATGCAGAACAGGCAGATCTAGGAAGCACGCTGCTGAGGGGAGCAGCGGGTGGGTCAGGAGAGGTCTGCCATGCCATGTGGATCTCCTCCAGGGCAGGCAGGGATCGAACTCATGCGGAAGTGGCTTAAGCTTCTCAGTGCTGTGCTTTAACCCGCTGTGCCACCAGGGAGGGCCAATACACATTTCTTTTAATGCACATATGTCATTCCCCAGGATTGAACACATATTGGTATCCAAGAAAAGTATCAATAAATTTGTGAAGATTGACATTATACCAAGCATCTTCTCTGACCATGAAGATATTGACTTAGCAATCAAAAACAAAAAGAAACCAGGGGACACTGTAATAGCTGAGGACTGAACAACACATTATTAAAAGATGCTTGATCAAAAGGAATCAAAGAAGAAACAAAAAATATACTGAGACAAGTGATCACATGGACACAACCCTTCAGAATTTGTGGAACACAGAAAAAACAGTACTAAGAGGGAAATATAGAACAATACTAGCCCATATTAAGACACAGCTAAGAACCCAAATAAAAAAATCTAGTCTCTCTCTTGAAGAACTAGAAATAAGTACAACTTCCCCCCTAACTTTCTAATACAGTTTGAAAGCACGTACTATGAAGACTATTAAAAAATAAATGTGGCGGCCCTCCCTGGTGGCGCAGTGGGTTAAAGCACAGCACTGAGAAGCTAAAGCCGCTTCCACATGAGTTCGATTCCTGCCTGCTCTGGAGGTGACCACATGGCGTGGCAGACCTCTCCTGACCCGCCTGCTGCTCCCCTCAGCAGTGTACTTCGTAGATCTGCCTGTTCTTCCCCACTCTGTCTCTGGTGAAGCCTCTCACCGCCCCTGAGCCTCTGGCCTGTACCCCAGTTCTGTATGAATAAATAAATAAATCTTAAAAAAAAAAAATAGCAGAGCACAAATGAATGAAAAAGAAATCGTAAGTCAGTCCAAAGATCAACAAAATAAAAAGTTGTTTCTTTGAATAAACAGACAAGCCTCTAGCTGAGCTAATGAGTGAAAAAGGTAAAAAAAAAACTCAAATAGGAACAAAACTAAAAACACTTAAAACAGACACCACAGACATTCAGAGAATAATAAAACATTGCTATGAACACTGATATGCAAACAAGTTCAACAGCTTAGATCAGATGAACAGTTTCTTAGAATTACACAACCATCCAAGACTAAAATAAATAGAATAAATAGAAAACCCGAACAAGCCAATCACAGCAAGGAAATTGAAACAGTAACCAAAATTCTCCCAAAAAACAAATGTCCAGGACCAGATGGCTTGCTAAGCAGGTGTTACCAAATATTCAAAGATGAGCTAATAATTATCTTGCTGAGGCTTTAAAAAAAAAAAAAGACAAACAAGGGATACTTCCAAACACATTTTATGAAGCCAACATTACACTAATACAAAAACCAAAAAACAAAGAAAACACTAAAAAAGAAAACTGCAAACCATTTTCCAATTTCCAAAAGATGTTTGTTTTTTAATCTGGGAAATTAAATCAAAACTACAATGATATATCACTTCAGAACAGTGAGAATTCAAAAAGCCAGACACAAGTATTGCAGGGTATGACTCTGGTCCAACCCTGTGCAAAGCAGTGTGGAGGTTCCTCCAAATTCTAAAAATGGATCTACCACTTGACCTATCATTTCAACTCCTAGATATTTACCCAAAGAGCATGAAAACACATAAAATTTGAAAGGAAACCTGTATTCTCATGTTTACAGCACATTATTTGCAATAGCCAAGATAGAGAAACAATCCAAATGCCCCAGAACAGAGGAATGGATCAAGATGTAGTATATATACAAGTAAAACTATTCAATTGTGGAAAACTATTTCGCAATTAAAAACGACAAGCTCCTGCCATTTGTGGCAATATGAATGGACCTGGAAGGGATTGTGCAAAGGAAAATTAGCAAGAAGAAAGATAAATACCAGGAGAGCTGAGCAACCTCAGTCCGCCTGAGCACAGGTAGCTCTTGAACTCAAGCCTCTGCCTCTGCTGCCTGGAGACACGCTGTACCTGGAAACAAGCAGTTTCAGTGCCGTGGGGTTCACGTTCGTGCTGATGACCGTGTTTGAGCAGGTGCCTCAGGTGAGGTTTTGTTTACCCACACGATGCTCATCTTCTTGTGGGGCCTAGCGGTACCTAAGTGCCTCTCCTCTCCCTCAACACGCTCCAGTCTCAGTGAGATGGTCTTCATGGCTTAGAGGGGGAACGGCCCAGTCCTGCCTACCCAGTCCCCTCCTGTCCCCTGACCCGGGTGTCCTCACACTTTGTCGGCAGTCCTGGGCAGGAGAGTGCCAAGAAGCACAAGTACTTCTCCTGCCTCCAAAGTGCGGCAGCACCCTGACCCTCTCACGGCGCCCGGAGAGGTCACTGCTGTGGACGGGACGCCTCTGCTGTTGGGCGGCAGAGGGGCACAAAGAACAGAGGGCCCACCGGCATTTGTGTTTGTCAGTCAACGGCCCAGTAGACTAGGCCTCGTGGGCACACATTTCTCCTGCGCCATAGGGGGTGATGTAATGATGCTAAGGACAGGAAGGCAGTTTGTGAGAGGAACAGCACGTTCGTGAAACTTTTATTACCTTACAGTTTAAACGAAAACAATGAAGGATCATAGGTGTAAAAGTTACAGAACAACAGACAGGCTGAGGGGGAAACTTTCACTTCCTGGTAAGTGGCTGGTAAGTGGCTTCCAGTCCTGGAAGAGGCTTTGTGATGAAGACAGAGAAAACAAATATGAGGAGGCTGAACATGAGAAAATGGAGTTTTGCTTTCAAAATTCCAGGTCACAGAGGCCTCCTTTAGTACTCTGCCCATGGTCCGGAGAAAATAAAGAGAGAGAATTGCACCATCAGTGGAACCAGAGTACCTGGCCTTGGTATGGTCTCTAGACCACCTGCCTTCAGCCCACAGAGCCTCCCTGAATTCTCAAATCCACCCTTTTCATCTCGAAAGCACAGAGGGCCCCTGTGACCAGTGAAGGCTGTCAGTTGTGGGAGAGAGCTGCCAGAATGCTGAGAGCTCTGTGGGGCCTCAGGGCAAACACCCGCACCACCAAGTACAGCTGAAGGTGTGCTGCAGAAGCCTGGCTCCAAGTTTAGCTAGATGCGGTGCCAGGGTGAGAAGGTGGCACTGGGTGTGGTGCTAAGTCAGTGAAGAGGCGTGTCCACAACAGTATCTGCGGGCCTGCCTGAAGTCAACTGTTCTGTGCCCAGATTTAAAGGAGCAAGATGTAATATACACAGAGAGCTGATAAGTAAACAAGATGCTTCACAACCCAATGTGCAGGTACATAACTGGCATTTAAAATGTGCTTAGCTGCAATAATATATAATGAGGGAATTTAACATGACATTTGATAATTACTGAAATTTAAAGTGTTTCTCTCCTCCACTCCTCCCAGATTCATTTTTTGCCCCATGCACATGGAACACTCAGTTCTTCTCAGACCACTCGAGGGTCATCCCAGATGGGGTGGAAATGGCCTTTGCCATTTCATGGGGCACTTGGGAGAGGATAGGCACAGAATTTGAGGTTGCAGTGGGCATTGAAATGGAGAACACATTCTGGGTCTCGATGGTGGTGTCCTTCACAATGAGCTCATCATTCAAGATGCAGAGACTGTAGGAAAAACAGGCCCTCAGAAACTGGACAGACAGACAGAAAGACACACCAACAATGATCTGCTCCTCCCTCTGCACCTCAACATCAGATTCTTTCCAAAACCCATACTGTACCTGCTTCCCAGCACCCTTGGGGGTACCTGCACCCTCCCACAGATCTCACCTTTGTAGTCCTTGCCTCAAGCTTCGCATGTGCAGGGGGAACCCCAGTGCATTTGCTGTGTAAAGCACCGAGAGGTCACTCTAAGCCCATCTGCAGAGGAGACACCGTGCCACACACAGGTCATGTGACTAGACCAAGGTTACACAGCTAGTGAGGCAGGGCTCAGGCAGGGAGCCCCAGGGCTGACTCCAGGCCCATGTTGCTCCTAAAAGTGAGGCCAGACTGCTCCATAATCTCCCAGCAGACTGTGAACAATGTTGAGGAAACAGTGGGGCTGCACCACCACATCCCCCACTGCTGGCGCAGGTCACCCTGTGTGTCCCACACCCAACACAGGGCTCACCTGGAATTGCTGCCGGGGGTAGCAGTGAAGGTCCTGGTGAAGGCACGAATAGAGCCTGGAGACCTTCCATCCACTTCAATGACAAACAAAAAATAACAACACCCCTTTGGGGTTCACATGCTTCACACACTGCCAGTGGTCCCCAGTCAGTGCTGCCCAGGCAGAATCAAGGAACACTGTTCCCTGGGAGTCAGGGTGTGCGGAACGGGCAGGGCAACAACAAGAGCCACCTGCCCCCAGGGACAGGGACCCGACTGCACGCCAGGTCCCGTGACAGCCGGTCCACGTGTTCAGCCACTCGTGTTTCGCAGCCGACCAAGCCTGGGACGTCAGTAGCCCATTTTGCAAATGAGGAAACCGCTCTCGGTTCAGCAGGGGCCCCCAGGTCCCAGAGGAAGGACCTGGGGTGAGGCCATGGAAGCCTGTGGCCTGTGTCCCTCCCTGACTCCCCAGCGGGGTGGGTGTGGGTGTGGGGCAGACAGGCAGGATTGGGGGCAGGGTGGGAACTGAAGAACACAGGGAATGGGGGGCAGGGGAAGGGATCCAGGGAGCTGGCAGAATTCTGAGAGGGAGCCCAGGCAGGGGGAGGGAGCCGCGGGGGCTTGGGAGGTCACTCCACCTTTTGGGGGATGCACTCACCTTCCTTGAACACCCCATGGACAGAGAAGCAGAGCATGGTTTCCTGAAAGGGAAGCACCCACGTACTCAGTCACCACCTCGGCCTCCCACCCACCTGTGGCTCTCTGGGGCTGCCCGGGGGAGGAAGCATGTACTCACCATGTGGACCCACAAGTCCACTAGCAAGGAGTTGAGGTCATGTTGCGTTTGGGGCAACATGCACAGGGTGCTCACGATGTCAAGGCTTGTGTGTCTCAGGAGCTGATAACGCATGTCTGAGGAGGCGATACAAGCATAGGTCAGGGCCCGTCATGCCCTGGGCCCTGCGACTGACACCCCTCCCCCACCCATGCCCTTTCCCTGCCCAGTCTTCCCCATCACACCTTTACACTGTTCGCTGAAGTTTGTGATGTTCTTGCTGTCCTTGAAGTACTGCCACAATCTGCTCCTAGAAGAAAAGGAGGCACAGGACGCGGTCATCAACCACATTTGATTGTATTTGGCAGCTGGCCTGGGTCTTAAGGGGAGCTACAAGTAGCAGGAGGACAGTCTAGGCAGTGATGCTCACAATGGGTCCTCAGGGCTGAAGGGAATAGTCAGGGTGAAGCAGGCTTGTTCGTGGTAAATACTCAGAAGACTCTTCCTGTCCCCACAGTCATAGATCCAGAAATACCTGTGTGGAGGCAAGGGGCAAAGTGGAGCTCTGTGGCCTGGGCCCCAAATGAGATGCAAAGACCCAGTGAGCCGTCCTGAGCCTTAGAGACACCCTCTCTCCAGGCTCCTCTTCCGTCATGGCCCCAGGAGTACTCACTGCTGCAGGAATTGGGGGAGTACATTCTTCAGTGCATTAGAGCCCAAGGAGCTTCCCTGAAATGAAACCAGTTAGGACTATAGGTTTTACTGCTTCATGCACCCCCTAAAACCCTGCTTGATCCTCCTCCTCACCTTGCAGGCTGGTAATGGTAACTTCTGGGCTGGCAGACCAAAGTTACATGGTGTCAGTGAGTCCTGCCCGTGGGGGTGGGAGGGGAGAGCAAGAGCAAGTCAGCAGTGCAGACCAGGAGATGCCCCTGGATGATCAGGCAAAAGGAAGGGACCAGGGCAGGGTGAGGGTCAGAGGTCAGGGGTGAAAGGGCCCAGGAGGTTCCAGGCCCAGGAATGCAGTGGGCCTCATCACCATGGTGTGCCAGAATTTGTGGGTAACCCGTGAGAAGTCCAGAGCCTCTGTCAGCTTCCCCGGGGGCTGCACCTCCATAGGTTTAAGGGTCAGATCTAAACTGTACCTTGGACAAGCCCTCAGGGGTACAGGGCAGTTGGTGGGTGGCATCAGTGTCAGATAGAAGAGTCAATGAAAAGGAATACAATTACCAGGCGGAGTAACTTGGGGAACAATTCCAGGATGGAGCTGCAAAATCAAGACAAAACAGAAGTGAAAGGGAGTTGCCTAGTGGGGGCAGCACCCAGACAGGAGACAGCCCCCTGAGTCCCAGACATGCAGGGCCCTGGGCACCTCCCCATGGACTGACAGAGGCAGGTATTCCTTTCCCTCCACCCTCTTCTCCCCAACTCCCTCTCCACCCCCACAAGACACAGCATTTGGAGCCCAGGCCCCCGGACTCCGGGCCCCTCCCTGCCTCCACGACCCCCAAAGCTCCAGAGAGAAGAGGCCGTGGCATGGGAGCCCAGGGTGCTGCTGCCTCATTGGGGTCCAGCCCTGACCCAGGACCCTCCGGGGATGGCCCGGATGTAGGGGGGGGGAGGGGGGAGGGAGTGAGGTAGAAATCAGCGAGCAGGAGGGAAAGGGGCAGGTGAAGACTCAAAGCGGGTGAAGGCAGAACAGGACACCTGAGAGTCTCAGAGGCACAGAGCACAGGAGACAGAAGGCAAGGGGATGGGGGGCCGGAAGAAGAGAGGAGGAAGGGGAAATGCCGCCTCACACACACAGAGCGCTTCCCTTCACCTGCCCATGGCTGGCCACAAGACCCCACGTGGGAATGGAAAACATGCCCCAGTGGGGCTGGCCTCAATCTGAGCCCAATCTGAGCTGGGCACAGACATCAGAGTAGCCGAGGGGGCCAGACACCCTCCCAAGGAGGACTGAAGGGGCCAGGCCCAGCTCAGCATGAGAAGGGGGTCTGTGGTCTCTCTGATGTCACCACCTTCTTTCTCCTGGCAACCCTGTCTACCTGTCTTCCTTGTTTCCTTATTGAGTAAAACCCCTTATCAAGCTGGGGTTGGTGGGAGGCAGGCTCTTGGAACTAGGAAAGAGGGTACCCCCCCCCTCAGAATAGGAGAGGCGCAGCACAGGGCATGAAGGCCTCTCAGCACCAGGCCTGGGCCAGATATCCCTTCTCAGTCCAGGGCTCCGCATCGGCTCAAGACTGGTGACTGGGGGCTCGGTAAGGAGGAGGAACCCGGCTTCCTGGGGTATGCACTCGGCAGGGCGCACTGAAGGAGGCTGGATGCAGACTCAGGGCCAGGCCCCAGGCTTGGAGAACCACCAGCAGATCAGGAGAGGACTCCCAAAATTCCACTCCTGCTACATCCTGAGACAGCCATTGTCAGGCGATGTTCACATTCCCAAGGGTGATGGTCCCTAGGAAAGTGGGTGGGAGGGGATTGCAGTGACCTCACGTAGCTGGACTTGTTTGAGAAGGTGTCACACAAGGGGTTCCCATCCAATCGAAGTTCTTCAAGCTTCAGCCCTTTCATCTTGCTCACTTCCCAGGTCGACTTCAGCTGATAAATACGGGAGGAAACTGAAAAATTAGTTGTAAGAAAGAGACATCCGGGCTCTTCTACCCGACCCCTTGCTTCCCTCATGTCCATATGTCTGACACCTGTCATCACTCTGAAGAAACCACCCCTAGAAACCACCCCTCCCCAACCTAACTGTGCCCTGACTCCACTCTCACCATGTTTTTGGAGAGGTTCAGGATCTTGACTGTGGGGACCATCTGCACAATGTCACTCAGGCCGTCCAGCTGGTACAGCTTGTTGTTGCACAAGTTGATGGACAAGAGCTTATGGGGAAGAAGAGTTAGAGCCTCAGTTCCTATTATCTGGGGTCTGGGAGACAACTGTGCCCTTCACATGCCTCTCCCCATCTCCCTCCCGCCCCCGCCCCTCCCCCTTATCCCCCTGTTCTGCCTCCTACCATAGTGTCTGCACTGGGCATGAGGTCTCACCTGGGGGAAGCTCTTCTCAATGATCTGCAGGGTGGCAGCCATGCAGTTTCTTCGATTCAGGATTATATCGATATCGTGGCCCACCAAGTCTTCAGGAAGAGGGCAGGAGGGGATCAAAGGGCTGAGTGGGCCCCTGGGCCAGCCGCCCCCTCCCCGTGATCCATCCCTTCTGGGCTCTCCCCCTCCGCCCTCACCTGCCCTGGAACGACTGCTGCCAGTCGTCCGTACCTGGGTCATAGCGGAGACTCTGCAGGTCAAGCGACTGCTGTGAGACATTGTATCGCTTCTTCATGGTCAGCTGGCGGGAGACATGGAGAGGGTATGATGTATATATCGAAATCTAGGGTGGAGTAGAAGACTTGGTTGTGGGTGTGGGTGGGCATACAATATGCCCCAAGTGTGCATTACCTCCAGCTGCTCCATTTCTTCGGGCTCCAACATATTCCACACAGAGTAAGGTTCACCAGATTGATTCACAAAGATACATATCTGGGGGAAGGACAAGACAGGTGAACAACAGGATCTTTAAGCCCAAAGGGGATGACCAGCCCCTAGCCTGTCCCCCAATCCCAGGACTGGGTACCGGGAATGTCCTTGACACACACCTTTCTGTTCTCCTTGTCATAAATCTTGCAGCTGACCTCCCTCAGCGCAGAGGCAGCCTTGGCATCCTCGACAAAGAACCGAGCCCGGTTTTTCACGTAGTGGAACTGCAGGAGGGGTGCC